CAATTTCATATTTCTTTAAACCGAATTTCATCCCAATTTTAATTAACTCCAATAATAGAATCACTTGGTCTCTTAACCGAATCTATTGCTTCCAAATCCGAACCCAAAACAAGATTCAACAACGACGAAGCCATGAATCTCTCTTTGAGAATTACCACAAACAGCGACACAAAATCTATTCAACAATCCGATTTTATAGTTATGTAACAGATAAAAAAAAATTAAAGGCTGCGAGAGATTAGGGGGAGGAGAAGAAGAGGTCGAACACAATGTTTTTTCTTAAGAACACTAAACGAGTTGGCCAATGAGCGGACGCCACGTGTAGCTGATGATACGTCTCTACAATATCAACCCACTCATCATTATCTACAGAGAATTCATCTCAAAATGACACTTTGAATCAATACAAATCTCAAAACTCTTCCCATAAAAATAATTTTCTTTTTCAATTATTTTTAATTCAAAAAATAGGTAAACTACATTGTTACCCCAGCCCAAACTTAAAAATTGCATGTAATACTTGATTTTAATCCGCCCAAACCGGATCGACCCGCGAGTGACCCAAACCATCTCTCCAAACCGGATCAAATCATCAAATTCCTAACTGTTGCGAGACTGTTGCTCTCCCTGCGAAATCAAAATTGTCGACTTCATATCTCCGATTTCGAAAATTAAAACCGCTACTCCTCTAAAAATTAAAACCGCTACTCTTCTCAAAATCAAAATCGATTTTCGTTATCTCTCTCAATTTCGATTTTCGTTATCTCTCTCGAATTGATATCAATGCCTCGACTCCGAAAGAAATCCTTGGTGAGAAGGTCGGAAGTTGGTCTTCCGGAAATTGGTGAGAGGAATCAAGAAGGAGAGGCTGTTGTTCGAGAATTTGGTGTTCCGGATGTTGAAAAGACGAATGAAGAAAGAGAGGAAGATGTTGTTCCGGATGTTGAAAAGACGAATGAAGAAGGAGAGGAAGATGCATGGGAAACTGTTGTTCTGGAAGTTGAAAACATGACTGAAGAAGAAATGGTTGAAAACACGAATGAAGAAGAAAGGGTTCATCCGTGGGTTGAGAGTGAAGAAGAAAAAGAAGACGACGACGAGACTCTTTTGGTGAATATTCTCAAGAAAAAGAAGACGGGCAGAAAGAGGAAGGGAGGAGTAGTTCGCAAAAGAGACATGCGTCCGAAGAAGAAGAAGATAATGGGAGATGAGAGGGAGTCTCCGGCTCCTACTCCGGTTGAGGAGGTGCG